GGGGGTCGCGATCGCGGGGGCCGCGGGCGGCGCGGCGGCGGGCCCGGGCGCGGGGGCCGCGGCGGGCGAGGCCCTGGTGGCCGCGGCGGCCGCCTCGGTGCGTCGGAGCCCCGGGCCCGCGCTGGCGCGCCTTGAGGGCCGCGAGTTCGAGTTCCTCATGCGGCAGCCCAGCGTCACCATCGGCCGCAACTCGTCGCAGGGCTCGGTGGACCTGAGCATGGGCCTGTCCAGCTTCATCTCGCGGCGCCACCTGCAGCTCACCTTCCAGGAGCCGCACTTCTACCTGCGCTGCCTCGGCAAGAACGGCGTCTTCGTGGACGGGGCCTTCCAGCGGCGCGGCGCGCCCGCCCTGCAGCTGCCCAAACAGTGAGTGCCACGGGCCCCGCCCGGCCTGGACCCCGGGCCCCCCCTGGATGCCCGACCCGGCCTGGACGCCAGGGTCACCAGGACCCTCGTCCAGACTCCGACTCGGGGTCGCTTTCGGCCTTTGACCCGGCCTGGACCCGGAGGTCACCCTGGCCCGGGGCCCGACCACCCCCTGGATCCGTAGCCCGATTGGGTAGATCCTGGGGTCACCCCAAGCCCTGGCCCGAACCCGCCCTGCCCTGCCTGACACCAGAGACGCCTCCGACCCCGCCCAGCCGGGGCCTCAGGGACGCTCTCCGACCCAGGTGCGATCCGTGCTCAGTCTGGACCCGGGGTCCATTCCCGATCTCCAGCCTGCCCGGACCTTGGGCTCCGAGGGTCTCCCGGCTCCTCCTGGCCTAAACCGTAAGGGTCACCTTTGCTTCTGTCAGGCCTGGACCAGAGGACACTCCTGAGGCTCGGCCAACCTGGGTCCCCAGGTTCGCCCCGCTCCCCACCAGGTCTGAATCCCGGGTCGACCCTGCACGAACTCCTGAAAAGGGTAGCATCAGGTGGTTTCAGTGTTGGAGGTGTGCCCCCTCACTTCCCCACAGTGGGGGTTCAGGTCTGAATGGCAGTGACTTGGGCTGGGAACGGACGTTCCCATCCCCGGGGCAGGGGTCCAGGACAGGAAGTTCTGTCTCTCCAGTGTCCCTGGAGATGAAGCTTCTGGGACGGGACAGTGGTACCCAGCACTCAGGCTTTCCTAGCACAGCTGGGGTTCCTGGGCCAGAAGGGAAAACAGCAGGGCATGGGGGCCAGGGCAGGGAGAAGGCAGCCCCCAGCAGCCTTAGGGATGGCTGGGCGCCAGATGCCCCATGGGTACTTTTAGGGACATTGACTCACTTTCCCTTGTCTTCTGGTTCCCGTGTCTGCTTTTCTCTGCCATGGGCTGTGCCCCGTGATCCTTGCTTTCTCAGGATCTGTTGATCAGGAGAGGACCTATTTAACTACTGTGCTTCCTCTTTGGGCACTTTCTGTTTCTGTGTAGTAAGTGCCTTGAGCCCCTCACTAGTGTTTATATTTCTCCAATGGGTTTCCTGTTCCACGCTTGTCTCTGATGGTCTAGTTATGCTTCTGTGAGAGAGTCCAGGGGATTTTTGCTGGGGTGATTCCCAGCGACCAAAGCTTGCTTCTGTAAACTTCTCCCCTCTCTAGGGTCTCACTGTGTTTGGTTGTAAATAATGCATTGGTTTCCCAGTGCAGCCTCAACAATGACTCACTCCTGCTTAGGGTGTGAGAGGGACAGCGTACCTTTATTTTACGAAGGTGAAAGGTATGTATACCGGTAAAGTCAGGGCTTGGTGAGTAACAAAGTTATTCTGTCCTATCTTTGTTACTACTTTGTTCTCTTTTCCTAACCTGCTCAGTGTCTGTTCTGGGCCATTAAATACATTTCAGGGCCAACCACTCCTCTGGTGAGAAAGTGACAGGCAGAACAGCCGCATCCCTGCCCTGCCCCCAGGCTCTTAGAGGCCTGTTGCGCTAATGCACCTTTCCATAATTCAGTGGGATAATTTAGAGCTCCCTGCCCACCTGCTGTGTAGGTCGGCTCCTAACTGGGGCCTAGCTTACTGAATCTGGTGCCCTCTAGTTTGTTCTCTAACTGGAGGGGAAGGAATGCCAGCTCACCGAGGCCTCAGATCATCCTCTGAATAGGCCAGTACCAGGTCCGTCGTTTACATGGTGTTGTGGGAGCTGGTGGACCCCCAGCTGGTTTGTGTTCAAGGGGCTTGACTTCTGGGTGGGCATATCGCAGAGCGCTGTGCTGTGGCCGACAACCTGAGCCCTTGACCTCTCTCTGACCACATTCTTTGCCCCACTGTGCTTGTGTTTGCCTTCGGCTGGGCTTCTGAGCAGTCTCCACGTAGGCAGTGATGTAAAACGCATGAGAATAGAACGACCGCGCAGGAGGAGAACCATTCAGGGGGCATCTGTGTCTCCCTTCTCCTGCTTGCTTCTGAAAATTGGCCGAGCCTGTTGACCTGTGCGTTTAGCGGTTGAAGCTAGCTTACAGTTTTTTCTGTTTTAGAGAGTGTAAACCTGAGTAGTCCTGTATGTGGAGTGGCCTGTTGTAAACTGCTTTTTTAGCGCCGGGTCAAGGCTCTTTGGCCTGTCACATAGAAAGCAATCAAGAAATTTTAATGAATTTAGTGCAAGGAAGTTGAATTTGTACGTTTTTGTTACTCCAAAGTGGAAAATCCATTACTGGCTTTTAAAGAAGGGTAGTAATTACTGTCCATTTTCTCTCGGGCGTTGGTACGTGGTTTTGCCTTTAATGTTTGAAGCTATGAATTTCTTTACCATAAATTAATTAATTTTTAAAGATTTTATTCATTTATTTTACAGAGACACAGCGAGAGCGGGAACATAAGCAGGGAATGTATGTGGGAGAGGGAGAGGCAGGCTTCCCGCCGAGCGGGGATCCCGATGTGGGGCTCGATCCCAGGACCCTGGGATCATGACCTGAGCCAAAGACACACGCTCAATGGCTTGAGCCACCCAGGCGGCCCCCATAAATTAAAAATTCCCGTTGTACTGGGCATTTCATGGACTTGCTATGCTTGGATTTAGTGGAGTGAGGTGCATGAGCCTTGAAGTTTTTGTTTTGTTTTGTTAGCGTTGTGATTATATACGTGCCAGTTCCTGATAGGTGACGTCCGTCCTGGGAGGCATCGCTCTCACTGCTCCCTCCCAGGGACAGCTCCCACGATGCCTTTCCTCCCTCTTCTTTCCTACTGTAGAAAGCTTGTGCTTAAGATGAATACCAGAATTTACCCCCATTTATTACTGCAAGTGCGTTCTTCCCCAAAGATCAGTATTTTTAAAGAATTTCCATAATGGAAGACCATTCCTTGGGACCCATTCAGAACTGATCTTGCTCTCCTGCCGTTTGGCCACACTGTGCCGAGTCCCCTGGACACTCCCAGGGAGGGAGTGCACATCCGTTATAACTCAGCCCCCACCTGACTTGACTCAGCAAAGGCTTCTGGGCCCTGAGTCTAGCATTTCTTCCAGCCGGCGAGCTCCCTGAGGGTTGGGCCGAGAATAGCTCTCTTTCACCCAGGACAGTAACTGGCTGGCAGGAGGTGCACAACTGAATTGTGTTTGTTGAATGAACATATGAGTTAACTGAATGAATTTGCAGCTTCCGGGGGTGTGGAGGAAGCAATGTCATCGATTTCACATGGTCTTCAGAGGTGGCAAGTCAGCTTCCCTCTGGTCTGTGTGGCCCGCCCTCTCTGGGTACACGGGCGGGCGTGGTTCCTGTGTGACTGTGGTCCTTTATACCGTCAGATTTAGAATTGGATGTGAACTACACAGAAACAGGCCCATACACAGCCCCTCACTTGCTCTTCCGTCTTTATTTTTTTTTTGCATCTTTTTTTTTTTTTAAACATGTTTGTAATAAACGCGAACTACTCGATTGATGATAGTAAAAACAAGACTTCTGTTTGTGGTAGCCTCTGTGAGTGGTAAGGTCATGGGATTCTTTCTTTTCTTTTTACTTTTCTGCATTTCCCAGACTTTCTGCGATGAGCATGGCTCTTTTTTTCTTTTTTAACACTTTCTGTTACCGAAAATTTCAAACGTGAGAATAGAGCAGTGAACTTGAACGTAACCGTCCCCATCATCAACGGTTAACATGTCGGGACCTAGCTTGCTTTACCTTTGTCCCCACTCATCTTTTCTCCACCCCCCTGGCGACCTGGAAGCGGGTCACAGATGTCCCATCGTTCTGTGTGTGTAAACACTTCAGTAAAAGATGAAGATCCTATTTTTTAAAAAGAGATTTTATTTATTTATTTGATAGAGATCACAAGTAGGCAGAGGCAGATGGAGGGTGGGCGGGGGTGGGGAAAGCAGGCTCCCCACCGAGCAGAGAGCCTGATGCAGAGCCCAATCCCAGGACCCCAAGATCATGACCCAAGCTGAAGGCAGAGGCTTAATCCGATGAGTCACCCAGGCACTCCGAAGATCCTTTTTTTAAGAAACCTAACCACAATGTCATGAACACACCTTAAAAGTTAATTGTAATTTTTTACTGTCATCAAACTTCTAGTTAGCACTCGCATTTCCCTTACTGTCTCACAGATTTCTTATGGCACGTTTGTTTGGATCAGGAGCTAAATCAGACAGCGTGATTGGTTGGTGTCATTACATCTCTTGTCATCTATAGGCTCCATCTGTGTCTTTTTTTCTTCCTCGCTGAAGAGACAGGTCCTCTGTCCTGTAGAGTTCGCACCCCCTGTGTTTATGGACTGGGTCCCCTGGTGTAAGCTTACCGTAAATCAGTTGTGGGACCCAGAGATTTGATCAGACTCAGAGTTGATGTGTTTTTGGCCAGAAGCCACCTCATAGACGCTAGTGCGTGTGTCTGTCAGGAAGCAGAGGTGTCTGTCTGTCTGCGTTAGCACCTTCTAGTGGTCCTTGCCTGGGTCCATCAGGTGATTACTGCCCGTACTGTAGCCGTTCACCTTGGCCGCGTGGGTGCACTCCACCCCCGGAAGGACACGTGGAGGGTGGCCTGTGGGAGGGATCATAGCTTCTGTGTGTGGACTGCGATGGGACGTGACTGTGACCCCCACAGCATTTTATTGCAGATGAGTTTGTTTCATATGGTTTCCCAGTGCTCTTCCAACCGGTCCCTTAAAAAGCATGGGATTAGTTACTAACCGTCACACAAGTAGTTACCAGATTGAAGTCACTTTGAAATTCGTTGGAAACTGCCGCAGAATTGAAGTCAGCCAACGGTACCTGGCCGTGGCCGTCGGCCTGGGAGCGGGCCCTGTGCTGCACGGGGTTTACACGGGGGGCAGCGGCTGGTGTCAGCTCAGCGGACCCGAGTGCGGGGCTGTGCGGGGCCGGAGAGAGGAGCAGTAGCCCGAAGAGCCTCTGAGGAAGAAACGTTCCGGTCTGGTGCCCGTTTGTACGTGGAAGTTAGAGGAGTGAGAAATGCC